TWYGRAKWTTATCTTCTCGTGTTCAATTGACATCGAACGAGTGAGCKTAGCGAAGATAAAATTCGTATCTCCGCGCGCCCATGTAATATCCTCTATATATACAGGACGTTACTTTTGTCTCGYTTATCTCTTCGTTTAATCCATCGATGATTAAATTGATATTTTAATGTTTGTAGATCGTATCCTTAGTGTCGCATCTGCCTTCAACCTTCATGGTCTTTTACTTGAGCATCAATGTCTTTACAAACAAGCAGCACAAGCATTCAAAAGGTACAGTTATATCATCACTGATTATTGACAAACATCTCTTATCTTCACTAACGTTTTACCACACAACAACTTCTTGGAAGATGAGCGCTTTTTGATATCAAAATACCAAGTGTAAAGAATTTTATTTTTATAGCTCACTGAATCTTTTGGAAAGCAAAAGTGCCGASCAAGACTTTCTCAATATTGTAAATGTAAACCATGCAAGAGTTTTAAGGTATGAAGTACTACGATAAAATAGCACTGACATATAAACAGTAAAAAGTACATTAGAATAGACGAAAATCCTCAAGCTAGCAATGTTACCATTATATCATACAAAGTGAGTGATTCTGTTGATGTTTGCAGTTCTCTTGGAAAACACACAGAAGCGATCGAGTCTTATCAAAAAGTAGAGCCGCTGAATCGATTCCATGATATTTGTGGGCTCGCCCTATCTCTGTACATGGCTGGTAATCTTCCCGAAAGTTATAGAGGTAAAAGACTGATTTACGACCTGTCTTGCACGACTTGACATACACTGCAAAATTGTATATACCGTGTAAATAGACGCATGCGGCCTACGACCGGTATCAACATGTCGTTGCGATGATTGTTGCACATCAAATCACTCGGAACAGGTCGCATCGTGTAAATCGACATTGATACAATTGATACATGGGGGATTTATCTATTGGCCTGTATTCTAGTTGTCTAGTTCAATCTGTTTCGTCCATAATAAAACGTACATGCAAAACCGAAGAAACACGGGGATAAAGGACTGGAGATAGAAACAGAGCGAGGACCCGTTGATGTTTTTCATATCTTTTTAATTTGTGCATTTCATTTTCTTTCTCTTGAATGTATCTCTTTTGTCCAGCTTACGAACAAGCACTACAATTAGCAGAGTCACAAGAAGATAAATCATGTCTTCTAACCGCGATGGGCATGCTGGGATATGCTGTTGATGACCACGATGGTGCTAAAGCAGTATTGTTAAAGAGGTAATTCAAAAATCATACATAATTAATGAGTTATTAGGCTAATAGAATGAGCGTATTTGGTCACATGCATGGACCTTTATATCTGATAAAACACTCCTTATTAGTATTCTTTATTTAAAGAATACTAATAAGGGTGACCTTTATCAGATATAAAGGTCCATGATCCTAGCAAAGGTCTCGGGTTTGATACCTGATCATTGACCAATGCAGGATGTCAACCGATAGCAGTAAAAAAGTCATTAGCACTTCTATTTTACTGCGTATTCAATGTGGGATAACAAGAGTGCTTTATATAATGATTCGCGCATAATCAGTTTGCCCCATTTATAGAAGTTTTCAAAAAACGATCTTGAATTTTCTTTTTCGCTTTACATGTTATCTTGGATCGAGATTGCTGTCGTAAAATAGGTCCATCTGACCAAAATATAGGCAATACCAAAAAACCTTCSAGCTACGCCCCTTTGTTGAGTTGTCATATTTCTGCCTTATTCTAATCAAGTTACACTTCCAAAAATGATTCCAGCTCCCAACTCAGCCCACCTTGTGAGCGCGGTCTAATTGCTCTGTGTGCACTGGGACTAGTAAGAAAAGAAATGACGTTGGCTGGCGCCGCTTTGAGTGAACTACTGAAACTTGAACATAAAAGTAAGTAAGATAAATAGAATGGAAACGAAACTCAGTGCCGTGAAGTATCAGAAATAACTTTTGTTTTCCGTTGGCTTCTCGCAAATAACTATTTTTTTTTCTTCTTAGAAAAAGAAGCAATTTACTCGGATATCTGCTTCCTGTTTTCAAGGTTCTTTGTTATTCAGGTTTGATGTTATTTTAAGCGTTTTTGTGCCATTCATTAATTTTGTGTTTGTGCTGTATGCATATCATATTGGTTTCCTTTCTGTATTTGTTTCATACTCCAGTTTCGTAATATTATTTGTGCAGTCTTAAACCTCGAAAGCATGTAATATATAGAGGATATTACATGGGYGCGCGGAGATACGGATTTTATCTTCGAGTGGTGAAAAGATTACAAAAACAGAAACCTCCAACAGCTCAAAAAAAATATGCAATACAAAGTGCGGAAAATCTAATGTTTTTATAAACAAACAACAAAAACTCTTTAACCACTTACGTTAAAATACGAGAAAATATTTCAWAGGATGCTAGGAACAATAGTTCATCTTCCTTTGTGGGACTTGATGACTAGCATCCTTGGAAGTATTTTGATATCATACCTACATRAAATATTTTCTATCAGATCTAGGGGCCGTCATGATAGCGAAAAAAATATCGTGAGCAGATCATTCGCAAAGACCTCTGGGATAGCTTCGTGCAATTAATTAATAGCACGCGTGGTATTAATTAATTGCACCAATTAAGAAAAGATCCACAGTTCGTCATCCAATCAGAATCGAGTATTTTATATAGGTGTGATATTAAACTTTTAACATTTCATTTTCATTAGGGAAATCCTACCGTTGGACTGCGACATATCTTAAAAGCTGTGCACGAGTAAGTT